TCATAAAAAGGAAAATCAACCAGTTTAGCACCTCTGTTAAATGCTGATTCATTATCAGTAATTGTCAAAGGCTTTCATGGCCGGAATCACTGGGTTGTTGTAGGTTTTTTCAGGCTGTATGGCCCTGGTCTAGAAGCATTCTCTCCTGATGTTTCGCCTGCATCTATGGCAAGCAGGATGCTTGCCATAGATGCAGGCAAAACGTCAGGAGAGAATGCTTCTAGACCAGGGCCATACAGCCCGAAAAATGGGTTGTTACCCATTATCAGTAATGTTTGATTTGTGTAGCCATTTGATATACTCTGGAACTGTGAAAAAATTATAATGCAGAAAGAGGTCATGAGAGGGAAAATCTTAAGAAGTCCTGATCTAGTAACTGGTTGGCCCCAGCCTCTTTAGAAACAGGCCTCCTTGCCTGGAAGCAAGTGATGAACAAGCTTCCTCTAGAGTCTTTTTAATTAAGTAAGGTTTGAATTTTGGGGACAAAAGCCAATGCACTATTTTATATGTAAAACCAATAGTTTAAGTGGAAATCTCCTTAAACAATGGAGTGATATTTAGGGCCAAGTCAACTTATTATTTAGCATTGCTAGCATGTATAGTGTGAATTTTCTCATTTCACTTTTTTTAAACTCCCACATCTACTAGATAAGGCATATCCAGGAAAACACATAGCTTTTGAAATTCTGTTGACCTTTTGATAAGAAACCTAATTGACAATTGTTCTTTCAGTTTCCTGAGGTTAAAAAGAATCCCTGAGATATGTCCATAGAGCCTGTCTTTTTAGTAAACTCCCCAAGGCTGAGTCACTGAAAATGAGTTACCTTGTGGAGGTGATATAGTCAATAATCTGCCTGTCTCCTGTTAAATTGCTGAGCTGAATGAAAATAGTATCAGTGGCACCATGGGGGCCCACCTTTCTCTCCTGGTAGAAAGTAAAATATTGCAGATGCCATTAAGTAGAAGGGAGAATAGCCATTGCATCAATTACTGATGAAACATACAAATTCCTCTTCTCATATTGCAAATTAAATACAATCTTGCTTGACCATTTGTAATGCGGTGAAAAAAGAGATAATGATAGATTTCAGTTATATCAAACTAGTTTTGCAATGCTCCTCTGTTTGGACTGCTCCCAACTCACTGAAAATAAAATCAACCAAAGGAACAAAACAGTCTGGACATGAATGTAGAGTCACAACATCAGTGTGCATTTTACAACTTGCCACACACAGAGTCTACCTATTTCTTTATAAGATTAATAGGATTCAAGACTTAGCGGCAGGCTCAGCTCACATTAAAATATATGGAAGAAAAATACCCAGCTTTACCATCTATATTATAGAATTAATGAGTCTGACATCATATTGCCATGGCTCAATATTATGGAATCATGGGAGTTGTAGCCTTCTCTGTCAATGAATGCTGGTGTCTCACCAAACTACAAACTGCATTAATTCTACAATGTAGATACGTACACTCTAAGAAACATCAATTGAAGTCTGAGAGTAAATATCTTCCTGTCTTCTGCTTTAGCCATAACATTCACAAAGTCCTCTACCAATTGGCAGCAGGCAAGAAATCCAAGTGTGCCACTGCCCAAAGAAAGAGATGCTTCACCACATACATATTTCAAATTTCTTGGGTATATTGGGTTGTTGTAGGTTTTTCGGGCTATATGGCCATGATCTAGAAGCATTCTCTCCTGACATTTCACCTGCATCTATGGCAAGCATCCTCCGAGGATGCTTGCCATAGATGCAGGTGAAACGTATAGCCCGAAAAACCTACAACAACCCAGTGATTCCAGCCATGAAAGCCTTCGACAATACATTCTTGTATATTTCCAGGTTGCTTGAGAGAATAATGAAGTGGGAACAGTATTCTTCACGGGATCACTGCAGTACCTTCTATAACAGAGATTTTTGTATACATGTCTACAAACCTGAGAATGGATATTTTCCCACTCTTTATAAGTCATCACCGCACTTTGAAAGTATCTTAAGATGTGTTGTTACATGCTAGTTATTTTACGTTGGGACTTGTTGTTAGGCAGGAAAAGAACGAATGAATATTTTCTATTAATTAAATAATAAATGATCCCTTGTTTTCCAAGTATTTCATGAAAGGAATGATGGAATCCCAGGTGTTTCAGAACTGGACAGTTGAAAGCAAAGAGGTGTCAATACTTGTAAAGTTATTAATGAATGATGTTTGTCCTTTGTTTTCACCTCTTTCTTTGGTCTATATATTCATGCCTTTTCCTTCGTTCTCACATGCAAAGACATCAGTTGCTCTTCTCTTGAGAAATCGGTCTCCCATCTATCTTTGCTATCAAAGGAGGCTCTAACCCTAATTGGTTGCTGCTGCACTCACATATGAGAGACAGCTTTTGGAGCTATTGTAACAAAGTTTAGGTAAACGTTTTTTTTTCCTGTTACATTCTGATCCTGACACGAATTTCCTGAGTCAATAAACCTATGTTTTCCCCCCACACTTTATGAGAGCATTTAGAGTAATTTCTCCTGTTTCTACCATAACATAATATTGCAGGGGCCTTGATGCCATCTGCTTGATATACGTACAAAATATTCTTACATAGACATTATTGTCTCTCCTCCATGAAGTGGCAAGGTACAAGATGTCGAACAGGCCTAGGGAACATGCGAGTTAAATCCCTCCAAATTCTTAGTGAGTTTATATGTTCATCATTCATGCAATTGTGAACTGAAGAAGCCAATGTTTTCCAGGTTAAAATAGGGAATATATTAGGAAAATTGGTATTATTTCCATTTTTATCCATTTTAACCAATACTTGCAATGTCTCCTAGCAGACATCAAAGTCCCACCTTTACTTTTTTTGTTTCTATATATTTATAGGTTCATTTGTTGGGAAAACCAGTTAGGACTGGGAAAAGAAACTGGATGAAATGCCGGGGCACCTTCCCAGTTTCTGTAGACTAATGGGGTGCTATATATATTGCACTGCACCAAGCTTATACTGTTATTACCATTAAATGACTGCCGCTACAAATCTCCCCCTTCCCCCACCAGCACCACCACCAGGCTATTGCAATGGATGGTTCCAGGCACTTCTGGTAACCCTGAGGCATTAAAGTCAGTCAAGTTTGTTGAAAAAGGAAGCTGACAGATGATCTCCTTGCTGAAAATAACCTAGTTGCTTCTTTGTGTTACTGAAGTCAGTCCAGGGATAACAACCCAGGCTCCTGGGAGAATTAGTTATTATTGTTTTCCTTCCTTGGCAAACCTAAAGATGTTTCTCAGTCACATTGTGGACCTTTTTCTTCCATAGCAACTTTATGAAGAGGGTAAGATTCAAGTCTGCTCTCACCTCAGTATGTGTGGATGGCATGTGTGTACATATGCACTCATCCCTATGTGCAATCCCTGGGTCTCACACTCACAAAGAATGTGACCCTTGGAGCCAAAAAGGTTATTGATCCCTAGTAGAGTCAATTCTGAATCACACTGAACAAGTTTAATGATTGAACATAGTTTCCTGCATCCTTTTGTCTCATTGTACAGTATCTATAATTTTAAGTCTATTTTAGCTGTGTAAACTTAAAGAAAACCAATAATATTTTGTGAAAATAAGGCATATTAAACTGAATGAGAAAATAATTGTATTGAATACCTATCTTGAAACTACTTGGCACAAAATTGTAGAACACAAAATCCCGTAGTGTAAGAGTTAAATGAAAAGACTATAGACATCTTATTAGTGAGCAATAACAAAGCTCTGAGGATGCTTACCATAGATGCAGGTGAAACGCCAGGAGAGAATGCCTCTAGACCATGGCCATATAGCCCAAAAAAACCTACAACAACCCAAAGCTGAGAATAATTCAGAATTTGTATAAAGATGAGGACAATTCAGAAAGTAGCAGTGATGGAGGGATATAAACCTCTTCTGACTTGGACATAAAAACCCCTTTGTTAATCTCCTTCATAGATGAAATGCTTCTCACACCTTAGATGCGTAGCACTGAACTAAAAACGTCTTCTGAGAATTGGGGCAGAGATTTTTCACAAAAAAAAGGAATAGGTATTTGGATTATGAAATCCTCTGGGTATTTCATAAAAGGGTCATAAGTCATGACAAACCACTAGCTGGGCCTGGCATGGTACATTCAAGAGCACTTAAGAAGTGTGAAGGCAGTTAGTTTTAGAGAGCATTTTGAAGAATGTTGTTGGAATTTAAGGGACAGAAAATGTTCAGATAGTAATGGAGGAGTTCACGTATCGAATGAGCAAAACACTAGGACTTTCCATTGTCATCTGCTATCCAGAGAGTGCTGAATTAAAGGTTACTGCTAAACTATAATCTAAGGCACAATGATACTTCTATTTCATACACTCTTTGTGACATTCACATAAAGAATCTCAAGCTACCTTCACTGAAATGATATTCCTTATGCTAGCAAGTTGAATGTGTTTTAGATTTGCTACAGATGAGAACACGGATGCTGCTTGTTTGTCATATGATATATATGAACAGTCACTGTGTTAAAAGAGTCAATCAAATGGAAGCACAATGTATCTACAGTCTACTGAGAGCATTCCACTCTCAATAGATTATTAGTTTGACACAATTTCTTCAGAAATGACTATCAATTTTGGCTGAGCCTTGTTAGCACAATGGCCAATTTGGTTGAGTTGCCTGGTTTATTGGTAGACCAAGGGAATGTTTGTCTTCATTTTCAGTTATCACAAACATGCCATTTCCTACTTTCAGCATTTTTTCCATTACTAAAAAGTCTAAAAGAATGACATTTTAAATGGCTTTAAACAGCTTTAGTATTATTTAAAAGATTGATCATTGTATGAGCCTGAACAGCAGTCAATCTGAATTTGCAATGAACTCTATTTTATTTCTACAGGAATCACTTTGGTGAAGCTTTCTGTGGGGTTGCTTCTGAAAGTGAGGCAGATATGTATATTTCTTTAAAAATTATCTCTAAATCCTTCAGTAGTTATACCTTTGCTTGACCAGCCTTTGTTATTTTTGAGATATCAAACAGCTGCCCGGTGTAGTATTGAACACCACTGAACAGAATCACTGCAATGGAGTCCCCTTCCTTCTCAATTACAGCAAGGATATCTTCAGTTCTCAAGGTCTCCTCCCCCTGAAATAAAGTTAAGCACATATTTTACACCCGCTTTGGCAGTGACAAAACTGTCAGTTCTTATTTCATAATCTATTTCTTTCTTTTTCTTTTTTATGATGTGCCTCGCTAACAGTAGAAAGTGATTAAAACCAAATCCTTAACATGGCAGTAATCTCCAAAAGTCAGAGCCCTGGAGTAACCTTTCAATGGGAGAATAATCATTAGTAACATAGTTTCAGTGTGGTAAATTCCATTTTTAAAGGATGTTCACTTTGTCTCCTTACATGCTTTGCTTGCCCGAACACATCAAGATGGCCTTAATTGGTTGATTTTTTTAAAAGCGTTATATTCCAATGCAAAGAGCATATTCAGAGGTGGATCAGCCTCAGGCTGCAGTGAACCTTCCTAGATAACTACGGCACAGCTGGTTTCTAATGATATATTAGCCACAGAAAATACAGTCTCTTGGCTCAAACTCTTGAAACTGAGAATAGAAATTGGGGTAGCATTATATGAACAAATTATGATTTTCCATATACCAGGCATGCTATATTTCTGTCTTCTGTTCTTATTCATTCATTCATTCTTGGGGTCTTATTTTTTCTAAGCCGACACAAGATGAGATTCTGGCTATTAGTTTAGACAGTTTAAAAAATTCATGGCCTATCCATGGATATTACTCACAATGACTATATGGAATTTCTAGGCTCACAGTTAAATGAGAACAAGGAATAACAGTTGGGGAGAGCTTTTCATACTACTTGAAAGCTCAAGGCATTGTGGTTGGGTTAGCCACAAGAAAAACTAGGATTCTGGACCTAATAAATCTTTGGCATGATTACTGGTTTAGAAAAGTTATTTTTTTGGATAACAGCTCAAAAATCCCATAACCAGCATGCCCACATGATATGTTATCTATGACAATTCAAGAGCTGTAGTCCAAAAAGGAACTTTTAAAAACACTGATCCAACAGAGTCCTTTATATGTGAACCTGCATATATAGACAGAAAGCTCTTCAGTTTTAGGGCACTTCCAGACATCAACCAAATCCTCACCAAAACTTGGCTTTCCTGATGGGGTGTCTAGTTGCCATCCCAGTAATCACTGGGATCGCACCCAGCCACCCCAACCCTCCCCCCCAAAGAAAAGAAGAAATAACTTACCCGGCCTCCATTAACGTACTCTTGGAGTCCTCCTGATGCATAGAAATGATATGCCAGGAGGCAAAGGGAGGGTGAGGAGGAATATCACTCCTTGAGAAATGCTCTTCGTAGAAATGATGTGCCAGAAGGACTTCAGAGGTGACTGGGTAAGTTATTTCTTCTTTTAGGAGTTTTTGGGGGATTGGGGAGGGGGGTCCTCTCAGTTTTCCTGGCTAATGGAGCCAAAAAACTGTGAGGGCTGTGTGGATAGGGCCCGAGAATCCCATGATGTGGTCCCTAGGCCCAATCCACACCTGGTAAAATCTGATCTTACCAAAGATCTGGGCCTTACTAGGTATCTAATTAATCCAGGACAAAGAAGGGTTTACCTGCTTTGTCTCGAATTAATTTGTTTTTACCAGAGGCATCTTTTGGACGCCTCCAGTAAAAACACCACAGGCCCTGTATCTTTGGGCTTGTCTGGAAGGGACATAAGAAAATATTTTCTAGAGCGGGTGTGATGTTATGGTCAACAGATCAACCACTAGTGTTGAAAGTGCAACCTTAGTTTTAGAATACCTATCAATATGTCCAGTCTACAATAAGTCCCAGTTTGTGATATGGGGATTTTAAGGCTTCTTTTCCTTTTAAATTTACTGTAATTCATGGGATTCACATAAGAAGAGAACACCCCAAAAGTCCTATAGAAATACATTTTAAGGTAGAAAAATAAATCATTCTGACTGTGATTGCAGACATCAAAATGAGAAGTTACAGAAAAGGGACCATTGTTAGACAACTGGGAAACCAAAATGAAGCAACACATCATTTTCAGGGAGAAGTAGTAGTGATCACTGTGAATTTTGAGACTCTCGGGCATATGGAGATGTTAGTATGAACCTCTCAAGATTAAAAACTTCTGCCAACCCTGAAATATACACACTAATACCAAAAATGGAATAACTTAAGAATATTTTTATATTTTGAATTGCAGCATGCAGCCCCAAGGCTTAAAGGTTGCCTCCACTTTCTGCTACATACTTCTCAGGCAAAACTCTATATCCCAGAGAAAGCTATTAAATTTGTTACTGTATTTATATTTCTGAAACAATAGGCATTATATCATCCAAAGATGTAAGAAAACCCTGAAGTCATTAAATATAAAGAATTTCAACAATGAATGATTTTCATCCTTTAAAGCTTCTGTTTCATTTTCTCCTCTTAGCAAGGGATCATGTAAAACACACTAGCACCAAGGGATCAATTAAGCGGTGAAAACTTCAAATCAAATTAGGCATGCCACCACAAAGACCTGGGATAAGATTTGCTGATTTGAAAGCAACTTTTATTATATTAATGATCTTTGAACATTTATCAATGACTTGCAGTAGCTTCTCATTTATATGGGGGGGAAAAATTAATCAAAAGGTCACAATCAGTTCTACTGAAAAGTAACAAAAGTTCTCCAGGCCAAGGAAGGAAAGTAATACAATATTTTATAATGATCTAAATTGGATAGTCCTTCAAACAGAAACTCTACTGTTACTGTGCCAATATATGGAAAAGTGTATTTTCTCCTGAGGTCTTCTTTGTACTGCGTGTGTGTGTGTGTGTGTGTGTGTATGTATGTGTGTATGTGTATATATGTATATGTATATGTATATATTTATATAATTCATTGCATTTGTTTCCTGCCTTTATGCCAAAAGTAGCATTCAAGCTAGTTAGCCATGAAAGTGAGAATTCTGTTGGGGTATTGATTGCATCTGCGTAAGTGGACTTACATCTGTGAGAGTACTGTAAAATGTTCATTTCCAGTACTGTTACTATGTAAAGTCCCCAGTGCACATTACTGCTCAAAGTGCAATGGGACTCTTGCACATTATTTTGATCCTGGTGCACATAACACTGGCCCCAGTAAGCACTGGGACAATCCTCCTGGTTTACTGCTACTCATTTTTGCATTTCAGTAACCAGGTTTCTTTATGCTTTGGTAACACAACTAGGAATCCTATATGACCTCTTATATAATGTAGCCTGGCATAAAGTTATGTTACATAAAATGCCATATAGGATTCTGGCAGAAATTCAAGCAGAAACTAAAACACAGTTGCTAATATATATGTATGTTGTAAAAGGTTAAATATAACAAAAGCATCTCAGCAAAAAAAAAAAAAAAAGGAAAAAAAAGAAAGAAAGAAAGCTATTCCACTCAACAATTTGTTCATGAAATGACAGCATACATATTTGATTCCACCACGGTCACAAGGAGTAGCCTTGCAAGTTAGGGAACAGTAACTCCCCCATTTCTCTCTTTTCAGAATAATCTCTGCTCAATAGGTTGGATAAGTGACCTCATATTCAGTCACTCAGTTGGATAAAGATTCCCTCTTTTAGTTAGAGGATTGCCTTGTTAGAGGCCCCCCGATTGTAAACTGTTCAAAGAAAGCGTGAAGCTGCCAATAGTGAATCTGTATCATGCAATACATCATCTGTTTCTTGTTTTGAGCGGAACCAATAAAATAGCACTCTACATTATAAAATCAACATTTCCAGACAGATTGCAATGACAGCTAAAGCAATAATAATATAACATAGACATCTGTGCAATTTTGACTTCTTTCCAAGAAATACCAGGGTTATTTATTGTCATAAATGTTACAAACCTTTCGTGGTTCTATCATAAGCATACTCTTCTCCGTATCAAGCCCATGATATTGGAGTTGTGATTCAATAGCATACTGTAAAGAAAACAACCTAAGTGACCAGATGTGAAGAACCAGATGATTTTTTTAAACTTCACAAGGTTAATATCATTTAGGTAGAATAGAAAATATGTATGTGGATAAGTCTTTGAAATTCTTTAATACTCTTTCATTTGTCTCCCCCCTAATCTGAATACTGAAAAAAGACTAGCATGGCTACTTTGTAAAATGTTGCAAAGTGGTCCTACTTTTGCTTACTTACAAATTAGTGAAAGGACTATGAGGTTTCTCTGCCCAGCATTAAGGAAAGGCCATGGTGTTTCATTAAATCCACTGCCCGACATTTCTAATGAAAAAGGTTTATGTAGTAGGTGATCCCCAAAGCCTCTTTGGGAGGCTTTGGCAAGGTGCTGTCAAAGTAGACAATGTAAAGAGTAGCCAACACTCAGGCAGACAAATAGTCTGGCTTGGTAAGTTATAAGGTAGGTAAGACAAAAGCTCCCACTAACGCCCCTTCCACAGAGCTGAATAAAATCCCACATTATCTGCTTTGAACTGGAATACATGGCAGTGTGGACTCAGATAAGCCAGTTCAAAGCAGATATTGTGGGATTTTTCTGCCTGGATATTCTGGGTTATATGACTATGTGGAAGGGCCATAAGTATAGCCCACATAGAGCAGTGATGTCTCACCTTTACTTCTGTTTCTGCAAAGATTGATCTGTGGCAGTCTAGGTAGCTAAATCTTTATGCTATTCCCTGATCCAGCTGTGATTTTTGGCTTTAAAAACCCTGTCAGGGTAGACAAATTCCTGCCACCTTTGTGAGATAGTTGATGCGGAACATGTAATTTAGGGATGTAGTGTCCAGTCCTTAAGTCTAATACCAGCCCTTTAGGATTGCTTTCTGTGCATTTATCTGTACGTTTATCTGAAATGAGCACATGGCTTAAAAATTCATAGCTGGCAATATAGTTAGTTATGGTCTAAAGTATGGTATTCTGACTAGGTTTATCAAGTAGGAAAACACATGTGAGGAATTACAAAAAAAGATATGGCTCTCAAACCAACAGTGGCTTTTTACTACAAGGTTTGGGAACCCCCAGACCTCCAGATATTGGTCTTCCCTAGTACCTGGACTTATGCCCTTGAAACCAACAATATTTGGAAAAAAACATAGGTTTCCAAGATCTTTAGCAGTAGAAGATATTTTGCTCATGCAAGTAGGTCACCTGTCACTCACTCTCTCTCTTCTACCCTGTGCAGGAATGGGAGCAGTATCACATAAAATGAATCTCCAATAGTTAGGTTCTCCACCATATATGACTGCAGGCTTTTTTCTCTATCATAAAACCACTATTGGATATAATGCATAGTTATAAGAAAACAAAACAAATCAACCTGACAGCCAAAAGACCTGGTAAATTACATGAAGATAACTGAACAGCATATACATGTACATACATAAATACATGTACATACATTGAATTCTCCTCTAATACATTTGAATTCTGTTATGGTTTTATTATTTGATCCATATACTCATAACAGATGGGGGATAGGCCTGCTACCATTTCCCTTTTAAAATGTAGGTGAGATATGCTTCAGTAGCAAAGAAAGGGAATATTCTCCCAGCACAGAAACAAACAGGAAGAAATTGGCCAATCTCTAGGTAGAGAGCTAGTCTATTTTATTGCAACTGTAAATACAAGGCAGCTAAAGTCTTGTGGAAAATACCTTAGAAAAGTCTAACATTGGCACATGCTTTTGACTGAGAAGTGCATGAAATGCATTCAGCCACCAAGATTCAAGGCTACTGAGAGTGAGAATGCCAGGATAAGTCATGTGCTGCCCAACCAGAGGAATAAAGAGACTGGGCACAAAAGATGGGATAAAAATGGGCAATTTTATTAACTATTGCCCATTCAGTTTGGGTTTTTTTGTGATAAGAATATTAAAATGGGGGGGGGATTTTGTTGCATGGGAGTTGGAGTGGTCTGTTTCCCAGATCTGAGCCCCCAGCCTCTTTTAGATGAAAACACCATAGTCTGGGAGGGGAATCCCTGAAAGTTGGGGTTGCCAGTAAACCAGAAGGCTATCCAGAGGATGTAAGCCTCCAGGCCACATTGGCCCCTTGTAAGGGCAAAAGATGCAAAGACCACCCTAAAGACAGGTTTTTCCCCCAGCCCCAAGATTGCATAGTACATAGGAGCAGTTCCAAACTCCAATTTTACAGAAATAGACCAGAAGGCATATCACCAATTCACATACGACTCTCCCCCAAGACCTGCTATAAATTATCGACCAGCATCTGCCAGAGCCAAGTGGAATAGCTTGTATATCTTTTTTGCAAATCACCAAGAAACAGTTTACTGCCAAGGTCAGAAAGGTGGGATAGTTTAGGCCATCATTTCGGAATAGTTTAAGCCAATGTGTGTGCAATGTAAAAATCCAAGCTGGGCAAGATGTCTGGATCAAACATTATCATTAGTCAGGTTACTGGTGCTGGTGACATTTATGCAGTTATGTTCCACACAGCATTCCAAACTGAAATGACCCTTTCACTAGAGAATTACATTTTCCCAGCAACTTCAAACATACTGGTGTTTGAGTGCTGAGAAAATGAGACAATATCTCTAAAAAGAAACATATCAACTGAGTGAGGAAACATAATTTGTATTGTCCCTTATGTGAGTTGCATCTGGAGAGGTTTTTATAGTGCCTCAGTGATCAAATTTCTCATCAATTTCTAAGTGTTTACTGAGTTTGATAAAGTAGCAGTGAATCACAAATGTGAAGATTAATTTGCCACAATCCATGATGCATGGACTGTTGTCTCGTTTTATAGCACATAAATGATGTTTGAATTACTAATCTAAAGCACCATCGACAAGCATTTCCCTATCTGTCTAGGGATATGAAGCTGTTAATGTTGTGAGCTTTGTATTGATTTGGTTTCATAAAGTAAAACAGCAACAAGAATTAATAAAACATTTACAACCTGTTGTTGATTTAGCCCAACAGCTTGCTCAATGTCTTTAAAAGGACTAATCAATCAATATGGTCATTCAATCTTTCCTTCTGCAAGGTTTTTATTTGAACAAGAAGAATGAAAGCATGATCAGTAAAATATGCCTAGCCCAAAAGTACATGGCCAGATTTCTTTTATATTTTTAGGTTATGTTTTTTATAGTTAATGAATAATCAGATATGGCTGTTTGGATGCTGTTGAAATACACACAGTAACTTTGAATGCAATATGCGATGTAATATTAATTCCTTACATGATCAGACGGGAAGGCTTTGGCTTCAAGGAAGATTTTATAGCGATCTGAAGTAGGTTTAAAGAAGGATAACTGTAGAAATAAAAATGGATTTATGTTATCTAAAGTGAAACTTTTTATTAGCCCATTGAAAATGCACAACAATTTACATTTAGAAGTGTCTATCAAATGTCATATAATTGCACTTTCAACATCTTCAGTAAGAAAGAATGCAACATTCCATAAACCAATGTATTATGTCATTTGACATAGACTTCCCTTACTCACAGATGCCCAAACTAGCATTCTATTACCATATTCAAACTTATCCCCTTTCTCTTTGAACCCTACGTATTAGAGCTATTCAATCAATACAAACATGTTTAAATACTCATTGGGAAGGGGGATGAATCATTTTAAGGGTGTTTCTGAAATTATGGACCTACATTTTTTTGTAACTATAACGAAGTAACTATTTTTTCGTTACTATTTTTGTTAAGTTATTGAGTAAGTGGGGAAACTTGGGGGCTCATTTTCCCCTCGTTTTTAGAGCTATGATGATGATACTTTCTACCACACATTTTCCACTCAATGTTACACACATCCACTAATTTGGGGGGAATTTTTGAATTTTTTACAGACATTTTTTTTTAAAAAAACAAACTACAAGAGCTATCTACTGACGTTTTATATACAATGCACATGATAACCAGGGCATCAATCCCCAGAAGTTCCAGAAATATTCACACATCTACTGATTTTGGGGGATTTTTAGAAGTTGAGACAAAAACATTTCCCCTAAAAACGCCACAACAGCAAACCTCTTAAATGTCTGACTAACATTGTGACTATATGACACCAATTAACCATAGAACTTCAACTTGGTTCAGATTTATACCATTACTTACTTACTTTAGTTCTCTTTTCAGATTCAATAATTTTATTTATTTATTATCCGACTGACTCTAAACGTCTGGCTGCTGCAGTCCTCAATGTTTTCTGATGCAGAGCACTGCATTCTGGGAAATGTCGTTTGGGACAAGGCCTTTTGAATTCTCTGCTACAGAGGGCCTCAATTTCCCAAACTACGTTTCCCATAATGCTGTGTTCTCAGTTTCCTCCCCAGACCAGTCAGCTGCCTTTTCTTATGATGACCAGCAAGCCGCCTTAGTTTAGCAATTACCTTTTTGGCTTAACCAAAATTGCTTAATGCTCATGTTAAAAATTAAACTGACTTTGGGAGGCTTCCAAATATTACAGAAACTTAATGAAAATTAAGTTTACTACTTATTAATGTAGCTGGTTACATCAAAAAAAAGACTCAAATGGGGCTGCTCATGACTTGCTAAAATTTTGTATCGCTACAATTTTCTTTTGAGAAAATACCTGTGTGGAAAGGCAGCTTGCATGGAATTTATGAAAATGGCTACATAGGGTAGCTTGACTTTATACATTTTAAGAGAACAAGTTCGTGTTCCTTTTAATTTTGGAAATTCGAAAGAAATTGTTTCTTTTGCAGAGACAAGTGTCGGTGGACTGTAATGGCTACTGAGGAAATGTCAGAGTAGCAATCAAAATCCTGTTGAGGAGATGCACATAGAAATCTAAGACACAAATAATAGTTCTTCCTTTTAAAATGACCTTAAAGTTTACAGTTCAGCTACTGACATGTAAAGCCAGTCCTTTTAAAGGTTCTGTAAACTATTTATAAACCTTGAATTTTTCTTTTGATACGTACAATAGGTTATGAAATATTACTCTTGAATGAGAAGTATTACCAACACACTTATGGGGAAAATTAAGCTAGAATAATTGTTCTTTATCTTATTTATATTTTGTTTGTTTCTGACAAATCATAGCTAATGAAAGTAATGTGTGTGCATGGGAGGGGGGGGGGGAGTTTCACCCAAATAGCAACATGATCAATTATTGTGCACTTGTTTTCTGATAGGTTCAGGAATATAAAAGAAAGTAATAACATCCAGAGATTTTTGAAAAAATCAAAATATAATGATGGTTAAAAACTTAACAGAAATTTCTAAAAAGGGGTTACCCCAATGGAACATGACTCTGTGAACAGATACGAGAGATAAAATGATCAGAGGCAAGAGTTTTCAATATCAGGTCTGTGGGCAGAAATGCCACCTTCTGGCTCAGCTGAAGGCATCAAACTCTGATGGAAACAAAATTCTGAATATATCCTATCTGATCTCTCAAGCCAGCTCTTGTATCATTATGACTTACCATTAGTAGATGTAGATTAACTGTCAAACCATTCATTAGTGCTATCTCATCTTTATGAGCCCCTGAAAAGCAATAACACAGATGTTTCTCTTTTCCTTTTGTTCAAGTGATGTGCAAAACCAGATGACTTTGGCTCACTGTCAATGTCTCCCTAAAATACCTATTTGATGTGTCGCCATGGACATTAAAAAAAGTTACCAGATTGCTGAAAGCATAATTATAAAGGAAAATAATTATTTTTACCAGTCTGTTGTGACAAATAAAGCCAATAATGAAGTAGCAGCACTTTCCTCCTTGAAACCACATGTTGATCCATTATTATTGTTAACATCTTGCCCACATTCAACATCAGTGTACTATTGTTATAAATATCTCCCCCATATACAGACTTAAACAGGTTTAGAAACAATAATTTGTTTTAAGTTGGTTATTATTGTGTTGAACACACTATATTTTCTTAATTAAAATAAGAAGACTTTGTCAAACAATTATTGAGCCCTCATTAAAATAGACATAATGATAGTTTGTAAGATAACTAGGCATAGAAAATAATTTCACTGTAAATAATGTACTATTTCATGTATCTTCTATAACAAAGTGGCATATGGATGCTAGGAAGTAGTGATATAGATATGAACTGCAGCCCAACACCTGGAGGTAGGGATAGGAAGAACATTCAAAAATATTCTAGACAAGTTTTTTTGGACTGCTGAAAAACTGTTTCAGAAGGATCCGGGATTGACAAGAATCTTCGCAGTTTAGACCTTATTCTGCATAAAGTTTGCACATAGTTGTTTTGTTCAGACACCGGCATTATCTACACATTTTCTGTGTGAAAAAAAATAATTTTATACAGAAAATGCTATTTTTCTATGCAAACCAACTATGTGCAAAGAATAAATCCCCTATTACAGCATATTCTGCATAGAAAACAATACTTTATGTGCAGGGATTAATATGTGTATTTTGAAGTATTATTTCCCAGATACAAAAATGGTGTTTCCTGTGTTTAAAATGCTGCTTTATGCACAAAACAACCACATCATACAGGTCTCCGACTGAAACAACTGCATGGTCTGTGAAGACTTCCTAGCGGTGGAAGAAAATTGCTTAAATTGTTCATTGTTACCACCAAGAAGAAGCTTAATGAAGAATTGCATCCTTATATGGAAGATTACACTATCCAATGGGAAGTAGACAAAAACATCATGGAGTATATGTGCACTTTTAATCCACTTGTCTGTTAAAAAGGACTGACAGCTCCATAGTTCAATCACTGTGCGCACATGTTGTCCAAATAGCAAAACTTCTATGTGTCACTGATTTCAAAAAAGTAGATGGCCTTCCTCTAAAGCAGAAAATCATGTATCCTTCAAATAATTAAATACAAAAAAGCATGCTTTTCTTTACATATATAAAATGCACTAAATGTATCTTTCTGCTAAAAATCACCATGTCAAGGTAGGTGGGGAAAGACATTGGAAAGGTTTGGCAAGCACTGTTCAGATATTTGTTTCACATCATCTAGGAAATGGCCAGAAATCCCTGATCCCGAATCTAAATTAATTTTGGAAAGACTGCCAATACAGAGAAAGTTGGAATGAACAGTGAAACACAGAGAAGAATGATCTATTCCCTCTTCCCCTCAAGTCTCTGCTAACACTTAGTGGGTCTTTTTTCTAGTCACTGTGAGGGGAAAACACTGGGAAAATAAACCACCATGGAAAGAAGTAAGGAAAACAAATTCTGAATGCAGACTTTCCTTGTCCATTTCATTCCAGAGCTTCTTTCTAACAACACGTTAAATAGAATAGTTTTCCATGACATAATTTTCTTCTGTTAGTTCCTCTTCATCTAGGAAGTACCATTGTTCAGTGGTGGTGGCACAAATGCTACTGTGAGCAGGGTGAAGACACTATATACAAGTTCAAAGGAAGAGGAAAATAAAGTATCAAAGACATTTGACTGTCTTGTAGAGTTATTAATCCAGGTAAAGTGCTAGACTCTCAACTTTAACTGCAACAAAATGTCATCCACTCCAGCTAAATATTTAGGGTCAATTTCTTTATACTCCTCCCTCTATTAATCTCTTATCAGGGCAGGACTAACATTAATCCAAGTTTTTCCTTTACTGATTCTTTCCCTCCTTCATAACCTTGGACTGTCACTACAACCTCTCTACATCTTATTTTTCACAGCCAAATGATTTGGGAAAGTGGATGATAAAATGTAATATTGTGAAGAAAGTTACAGTTGAATTATCCTCCAGAGCATCTGGTTTTCTGTGTGTTTGAACACACAAAGATACACACGTGTGTGAGTGATTGAGTGAGTGAGAGAGAGAGAAGCTTCAATTATGCATTCCCTTAACTGCAATTTGATGTGGCAGAAAGAGCTATTTTGACACAATTGCTTCATGTGCCAACCATGCCTGAAGTCCTGTTACTTTTTTCTTATTGCACCCCTTCCAAATCCTGCCTTCCCTCAACCATTTTTTAAATCCCTAACCCTTTCATCCCAGCATAGTCTGCTACCCTGCCCCCCCCCTCTCTCATCTAGTCTACAATTACCTTCATTTTAAATTACTATGAAAATATTTCTCCAATATTCACTTTGTTGAAAGATGTCATATTTCTTTCAATTGTAGGACATTGTGACCTTCCCTCCTGAAGGACATGGCTTCTCAACTCTGTTTATGGTCTTTCTTATTCTGTCAAAGACAGGCCAGCACAACTCTGCCACTTTTTTGTATGTTCTTCCGCAAACTCTCTCAATGCCATGATTTGGAAAAATGATATTAGGATCTAGCAAGTTGGTAGGGAAAAGGTATATGTAAGTTCTTGCTGTAAATCTACTCTGTAATGGACAAAATTACAGAATGGGCTCCCTATGCTTCTGTGCATAGGGAGCCCATTCTTGCATCTCAGGACAAGAATGGTAAGTGATTCCAGCCAAAACACAACCCAACTAACCCTGGACACCCAGCCTTGAGCTCTTACTCTCCATAATTAGTTCCAGTAAGTTTGTCCATCCTGAAGAAAGCCTCTTTTTGTAATTTCTGTTTTGTTTTCTTCTTAGTTTATCCTGACTCTAAGGATATCTGCTCTCCCTTGCTGTGCTTTAGACAGAAGAGAACGAAAGAAACCTACAACTTTTTCAATTATCAGCTTTTCAGTTCTCACTCTAATTCCCCTTCCTTTGCTTCCCACAAAAAAGCTGAAATAACCGCCATACAACCTGCTGCTTGGTAGCATCACTTTTCACCCTTTCTGTCTCTCTTCCTCTTGTGTTTTGGACAGCTTTCAACAGTTACATGCCGTTTTGTTATATTTTGTCAATAAAACTCTTTTCTGGGAAAGTGGTGTTCTTGCTATTGCTGCCTCTCAAGTATCTTATGAGGGCACTATGTTATCCATCCTTTTATTTTTTTTTTGTACATTTCAGTTAGCATGCTAGTCTCTGGACCAACTCTTTTCAACAGGCAGCAGCATTTTCTCCAAAATACCAGAGAAAGATTTGCAGTGGCTCTAATTCATTTGAACTAAATAGTCCTTAAAGGATTTATCGCCTAGAGATGTGACTTTGCAGATGTGTGTTGAAACCTATTGTTCAAGCAAGTATGATAACAAGAGTTATCTGCCTTCTCCCATTCCATTAGAGACTACGAGAGTCTGTAGTGTTCAGCCTTTGAAGCTGATGACCTATGATAGCTCAATGAACCTAACATGGGTGAGGTAGTTAAATGGAAGGCCTAGATCCTGTCCTTTTTATAATCCAACTGATCCTCTTTCAAATGATATCCAGAGTATACATAGAACTGCTTTTCTTTCATTTATAGCCAAAACCTCAGAACAAAAATAAATTGTTAATCTGAAGTTCACCTTTATATTTGTGCCAATATCCTATATTGAATATGACACCACATTTGTCATGTAAGTCTTGCTCTCTTGTAAATGATATATTTATTAAAAGCTTTTCTTTATTGGATTTTGATGCCCACTAAACAAACCTTATCTATGCTCTAGGAAAATCATTATCCTTTATAGCCTGCACTGCCTTTCGGAAATGACGCTTCTGTGATCCAATTAATCTATTACAATATTCAAAGACAAGGATCCAGTAGACAAAATGAAGTTTGCTTTCCCAGTCTCATTACTCAGTAGCGCAGATCTTGGACAGCACAGACCCACATTATGTCCTACCTGATAAATCTTCTTAGTGATGGGGAAAAAGCAGAACTTCTGATGCTTCTACAACTACATTCCCTATGGCTTAAGGGAAGACTATGATTGTGGTAGACAGACTGAGAGTGCAACAGAAGACACACACTTTCCAAGTGAGTAGGCAGAATGAAATGGACTATGATGGGGGAAATCAATATTAGTATGCAAAAAAAAAACCGCTTGCAATTTGAGTTCTTTTAATAAATCTCACTGTTCAGTCATTATAAATCAGTTTGGTATTCATCCCCTCTTCAGAGGAGTACTGGCTGAACACAGTGGTACAAGACAGGCAATGGAGTTAATCGTATTCCATCAGAAGGTGTTATTGTCAAGCTTGTAGTATATTAATGAAGTGGAGTAGAAGCAGAATGCAGGGAGGAGCAGGGGGGTGAGGTATGTTTCCAGGTAATTCAGTGCAGAAATTGGGGCAGGGGAAAGGTTGAAGAATCTGGGTCTCGAGTGACCTTGATTTTGCATTCGCAATGTATTTACTGTTGATGCCTTCATTTAACAAGGAAATGCGCTCTTGTTTAATAAGCAAGGTGTTACAGAGCCATAAAGCTTTAAATGGCCAAAGGAAAAGCCATTTACTACCTTTATTCTATTCCTGAATAAATCCCCAAAGACAATACTCACTTTGCGTTTTGCAGAACCAGCTCTAACAGTTCCAATTCCTCTATAAAATGTTAAGCATTAAAAACAAAACAACCTAAAAATATTTATTTTCTCACATTAACCTGCCAAAGGAACGGAAATACTTTTCTTTCCCTGCATATCATTGAAAAGAATGTATATTCATCTTTAATACTACACTAAACAAAGATTATTTTAATAGTGTT